TAATTTGAAATTTAACCAGAAATAGACTGGAACTTTGTTAAAACATCAATAATACGTGCACTCAACTCTTCCTCTGACTCCAAATGTGGACGACTTGGTTTTTATTGTGCGATAAATTACCGACTCCATGAGGACTTAATTGCTCCTCATCAAACTTAATAGATTGACAGTTTTCTCGCCTTTCCTGCTTTTCGACCAATGGTATTTCACTTCGCTCAAACGAAGCAGAAATGAAAAAATTACAGAGATCAGGGCAGGGTCACTTTCTTGGCGCCTCTTCACCAGACTCCTTCCCGCCGGATCGCTTTGCTCTTCGCCGCTCGCGCGTGTGACTCAAAGGTGAGCCTGCTCGTGAGCTATTGGGTAGGCTGTAGTAGTGCTTTCAAGTTTGTTTCATAAACACGTCAACTCAGGGTTCTCCTTATCAGGCGGTAACCGGTAAAATTTACCGCTTGTAAGACTTTTTACCGCCTGTAAACGCGCAGAAGTCTTTAAAAATTATGCATTTACGGTGAGCTAATCTGGTAAGAAAGTAAAAGATGAAAAAAGAAGCAGTGCACTGTGATCCACATGTGCTTTATTTAGTTAACACTGACTGTTACCTTTCGAATTTTGAAGCAAGAATGATTTTTTGCGGGCGTTCTGCTAAACGTCATGACATTAGTCAGTTCTCTGCACGTGCAAATGTTGTGTTATTCAGTTATTCAGTTTCCACGATGAAACAACGGCAAACAATGCTGTCGTTCCTGTCCAGTAACAACAGTCACGAAGAGTAGCAGGAAAGCTTTACAATAATTTTAGGGCTAAACAAAACAAAGCTTACGTACTAACGATGAAAAAGCAGCCAATTGCCAGAAATAACCGCCTTGGCAGTTCTATACATTTGCTGGCTGTTTAGCAAACATTTGGGGACAAAGCCAGTCTTCATCGTGAAATTCTACTTGAAATGTATTCCAGACAACGATTCGAAAGAAGCCTTGAAAATAAAATCCTTTGACAGGGTAAAAGTTCTGAATTTGAGATGATTAGAACACAAATTCAGCAATTCGAAATGATGCCATTTTGTAGTGGATACCGCTGATTTTCCAGTAATATGCCATTTAGTGACGTCAAAGATATCACCCGAACAATTTTTCAGAATAAAATGCTTTAAACTAAAATTTTACTTTGTTTTATTCAGCCCCTGAACCTAAAGGTGTATCGTTCAGATTGTGCATTTTTCGATGAAGAATTTTTGACAGGCGCGGTATACTGTATGGTTTAGGAAATGAAAAAGTTAAGAATGACCAGCCGCCTGAAGCTGCAAATGTGCTTTGGCGATCAACATAAGAGCGAGTGATAACTGAACCACCCTCGACCGGTAAATCAGTAGAAACGTCTGAGTCAGTTAGGGCATCACCTTTGGAAGCTGATAACCAATTACCATCCAACGAGACGACGCCGTCAAAATTGCCTTTGAAAGCAGCATCAGAATTAAAAACATTTAAACCCTCTGGTATTTCAGAAAAGCAGCTTATAAGCATTCTGGAAGAAGTTTTTGATAGTAGCCAACCCCATGTTTTACACCATCGTATACTATGTGCAAAAAAACAGCTGCAAGTCGCTATCTTCCAATGAAATAAGCAGGCAGTTGCCATCAAAGCCCCATGTTTTCAAGCATGGCTGGATCGATGGTGACATTGTATTGTGCTATAAAAGTAGCGAATGGTGGCTGGCATTTAAAGAGGTCAAGGGGATGTTTTGTTGTCTTTGTAAGAAGCATAATAAAACAGGCAAAAATGTGAAATATGCTACTGCGCCCGGTACACGTTACACGAAGGCCGCAATATCAGAGCATGGCAATTCAGAAGAACACAAGCAGTCAGTAAGGCTAGAGAGAGAGAAAAAGAAAACTTGATTGTGTGAAGGTTATTTTTATACTTAGCGGGACAGCGCTGATGTCAGCTCAACCAACGTGGTGCAAAAGTTCGGTAAAATTGTCGCTTATCCTTTTTAGAACATCCAACATTAACCAAATGCTTTATCGGTTTGAAAAGGTCCCTTATCTGTTGTGCTGAAAACTAGGGAGAACCCTGCAACTGGTAATTAACATCAATTATTTTGTTTTCCTATTAGGTTGACGCTTTGGACTTCTGATGGCTTCTGATCAATTTGGGCCTCCTAACAAAACAGCTCAGTCTAATTATGCTCAGCTGTGCCGTCTTCTGGTTGATTGTGGATGTCATGCCTTGAGAGTAACATTCGATAACATCCATCCCCCTGGACAGCTTTATACAGTTCTGTCTAGTGATTCAGTACGGACGACGTTGAAATTCTTTTTCAATAGAAAGATTCTTAGTCCTGCACAATGGGAAATGCTGTATCCTGTTATCCCTTCATTAGTTTCATCAGCAAACTTTGGTCCTACCCTCTTGATGGTGCTGCTTAGGAGCATTTGTCATCTGAGGTCCCCTGTCAATGGCTGGGACAACTTTCCTCCTTCAACAGAGAAGAACATTGAAGATGACATTGCCCGTATAAGGTTTTACAGGAATGCTTTGGCCAACCAGGCATCTCTTGACTGTGGTACCTTTGATAAATACTGGCAGGACATCTGTGGCATCCTGATCAGACTGGGATTGGCAAGTTATGGAACTACAATTGATGAACTCAAGAGTAGCAGGATGGATCCTGATATCGAAGAGCATTATCAAGAGCTTTTGAGACAATGGCAGAGAGAGGAAGATGATATAAAGAAGAAACTCTGGCAGATGGAAGTGGAAATGGACAACCTCACGGAAGAAATCCACCATGGAGGTAATTATTTTTAGTATAGTTAACTTAGAGCATTTACCAATAACACTGGTGAAGGAAACTTCCAGCCTTGGGAAAAATTAAAATGTCGGCTTTTTCTGCAAGATAGATTCCCCTTTACAGTACAGGTCAGAGATAAGTGACCACAAATCTGTGCAAAAAGGGCTTAAATGACAAAAAAGGGTGCAAATCCAAGTGCAGTTAGGAAAATGCCAATTGAAAACACACAAACAAGCTCAACAAGTGAACATTGTCTTTGCTTAACTAGTTATTTTCCATTGTTAATTTCTTATTGTTAGCTTGAATGGCCTTAAAGGGACAGTGTCACGATCTGCACGTGTGTGGTGAGATTGCTTTTTCATATCAGCTTTAACAGTTCTTTCTCTGTCCTTTTGAGACGAGATTTTTAACTGTTATGTGTACATGTTAGGCGGCTGAACACAGTTTCTGATACCTGTGTTTCACTCACCTTTTTCTCTAAAACCCTTGATCCCTCGGTCGCCAAAAATGACGGCAAGCAAGTTAACAACACGAACTTGATTTTTCGATGGTTAAGCTGACATATGTACTGTTGCCATGGCAACATGAATAAATATAAACAGGCCTTTAAAATCGGTTTTGTTTATTTGTAGAAAATCTAGTCATTAGATTTTCTTTATAATTTACATGTAACAAGCTTGTAAGGATTCTCACAAGTCAACACCATTTTGCTAATAATTTAACAGAGAGATCTTTAATTATCTCTTGTTTAAGGTTCACTGGATTAACTAGAATTTCCTTTGTTAAAGTTCAGTTATTTTCAATTCTCCAGTCACTTATTTCCTAAATATTTTCGTGCCAAATTTCGTGAAATTCTAATGAGTGGTTCTCGAGAAATAGGCGTATTTCCGAGAGTACAATTTTTCATTCAATCGCAATTTTTTGACTTACTACAAATGCGCTGCATTTAACTGGGTTCTTTCGGTGACAAAGAAAAAGCTGAGAATTGTAGAGTTCTTTGAATCGTTACCTTTTCTACCATGTCTTTATAATAGAAGACTAAAGCCATCAGTGCACTGCGTTCAGTTATAGAGAAAAATAGCACAGATAGTGCGAGTAAATAAAGTGATCGCTCTATTGACGGCGTGTTTGTTTTTTGCAATCCTTGTGCGCGCGCTGAATTGCATCAGGAAAAGCGTGCGCGAAAACTGTGTTCGGCCACCTTAAGGCACAATTGAAGTCACCGCCTAGTACTAGTGTCTCGTTTGCGTAACTGTTGAGCACAAAATTGGACAAGTCTCTGAGGAAATGAATTTATCACCTCTGATTATTCAGGGCAGAAATATTTAAAAATTAAAACAAACTTTTCGTCGTCTAGAAATACTTCACTTGACACTTATCTACAATTCTTATTACAGATGGACACATTGACACAGTAGTTTAGTTACTGTTATCACCTCAGTCTGAAGATGATATAGAATTATGTCGAAATATTACAAGTACATCATCGATTCCTTGAATTTGTTGCCTGTATTATAGACACAATGCATTTACTCGATATCACATTTATTCTCTATCAACCAGCACATTATCAAAATGGCATGGGAGAGAGAGATTGGGTAGAGTGAAACGAACATTTCAAGCCAAAACGAACAATTCATCCTACATCAAAGGTGACAATCTTCCTCTGGTAATTTGTAAATACATTTCAGATCTATTTCAAAAAGTATTCTGGACGTTGGCGAACTGACCTATAAGCGTTGGCGAACTGACATTAGACATTGGCAAATCGACTTCATACGTTGGCAAACTGGTCGTTGGCGAACTGACACGTTGGCGAACGTTCCACGAGGCGACCCAAAATTGTAAACCGTTTGGTAGAGAGCGTCTCTAATCAACAGTTTCTCATGTTGAAGGAGGCAGTTTTTTGCTCGCTTCTGGCGTTCCTTAGCGCAGGTTGAAAATCTTTCCTAATTTCATCGACTTCTGTAGAGAAGTTGTCAGCCGCCACACCATTATTCTTCATTTCTTTATTAAGAAATTTCTCAGTGTTTCTTCGGTATCTTTCACGGATTCTTTATCCAAATCTTTCATTCCAAATAATTTAATGATGTTGCGGCGGTTGTAACATTCCGGTTTTTTTTTTTTTTTTTAATAGTGTTCCAGCTCACTGAGCTTTTCTAGCTCTTTGTTTGCTTTCTGCAAGCTATGCAGTGGTATGCACATATGTAGTATGCACAACTTGACAAACTTAAACAACTGTTACCGACTAACTTACTTGACACTGTTACGACAATCGCCGACAGACGAGCCGACGAAACCACAGACCGCGTTCGTGCTGAACAAGAACGAAAACTGACAACACTTCAACGCAATAAAGACAAAAAACGACCCAAAACTGACGATAACTGTTGCAGGAATATTTCTTCCCGTCCCTTAGACAAAACCGAGACTCACGTACTGTCCTACGGACTAAAACACTCAGTTGCGCCTAAACGGATACCGACCGAGTCTATTGTATCTAGTGTTGAGGTGGTTCTGTCTCGTCAGCGAGACTTATCAGAATCTGCCAAGGATAACATCAGAAGCAGAATTGCTTCCACNGACTTCGTTTCTTATGTTGAATGTTTTAGAAACAAAGATCTTTCAATATGATTTTCTAGAAGGACATAATGTGTGTCAAAATAACCGTTGTTGATCATCAACACAGAGAAATGTAGTCGCCATTATGCCGTACTATGACGACTAAACCAGAATGTTTGGTCGCCAAGGATGAAATGTTTGTTGCATTGGCAACCGTATCGATCACAATTTCCAGCACTGGGATGGCTTTAAAATTATTATGCCTGTGTTAAGCCTGCAGTCTTGTAAAAGGAAAGGGCCAAATTGGCCCTTTTTTCGTTTTTCTGGGGGCCATCTCTAATTGTAACGCGGGATTCCCGCAATGGCGCGCTCTGGCGGAAACACTGCAGAATAGATAGTGAGTAGCGTAGCCAATCAGAGAACGGCAAACTGTAGAAATCGGAAAAAAATATCTATTGTTGTTTTGGCCATGCCTTTGTTGAGAAGAAAGAAGCTGGAAAACGTAAAACGACCGACTGTCATTCGGCCGAATTAATCGGGTATCAAACGCAAGCAGTAATGTTTAAGAACTGCAAAGTGTTAATCAGCTAACATCAATCCCTCAAAGAGTGTCGGGGTGTTCTTGTATTCTTATATGTTATCTTTTTATAGACCGGTAAAGTTATAGCATCAAATAATTTGCCGACCCTGCTGCGTTCGCGCCTGTCACAAGAGAAATATCTATGACAAAAATTCCCGACATGCTTTTGTTCCTCGATGCTTAAGGAATGTTCTGGCCCAGTTTCATGATAATCTACCAACCTTACATACCCTATTAAATCGTTTAAAAGAGATGGTATTCTCGCGAAAAAAATATTGCGAGTTATAACTGTTTGAAGTTCCGTTCCCAATATTGTACCTACTTTGCACTAAAAATATGGTTTTTGACATTTCTTTGGCAAAGTTTTGTTTCACTTGGTGCAGTTGCCCAGCAGCTAACATGCAAACAGGTTTCATTGTTATGGTGTTCCCACAACAATGAAAGTTCTCTCATGCAGGTAACGTTTTCTTTCTGTAAGTAATTGGAAACCCCAATAGACCATGTTCATATTCTCGGCCTTGGACTGGAACTAGCTTGCAACCGAGGCCAATGTAGGGAATCTTTTCATATGTAAATTACATTTTTCTCATTTTAATGATATTCCCCCGCATGAGCCTCCATTGCAAGCTAGTTCCAGTCCAATACCGAGAATATGAATATGGGCTATTCTCTATTTTCCAGTTCCCCATAATTCACTCTGTTTGTCCCCCTAATTTTTCGATAACTATTATTGTGAAATGCTCTTGGGAAGTCTGCATATTCCCAAGAGCTGTTCACGAAAATAGTTTATGCAAAATTAGGGGTTAAAACAGGGTGAATTATGGGGAATTAAAAAATATTGAATATGACTGCCATGCAAATGGTCTATTAATGAGACGTTCTTGAAATATTGACCTGCTTTTCTTCCTTTTTAGATGCTGCTTACCCAGCTTATCTAATTGGTACTATCCGCAAACTCTACAAAGCCCACAGGGGATGGCTTTCACCCTTTCCCTGGCGTGAAGAGTTTCATGTTCTCCTTGATGATATTACTACTAGACTGAGAATATCCTGCTTGAAAACAGAGAGACGAATGGGGAGGAAGGAAATCGAAATGTCTTCTATCTTTAAAGTACACGAAGGTTGTACTCAGCGGCCAAGAAGAGTGCTTGTTCAAGGAAGGCCTGGATTTGGAAAGACAACCTTCTGCCGAAAGTTGTGCTATGATTGGGCTAAGGTGCAACAAGCAGATGTTGGTTTGCCAAAATGTGAATTGGTGTTGTTACTCAAGTGCCATGACATCAACTGTGATCTTTGGGAAGCCATTGATGATCAACTTCTACCTCGTAATATTGGTACAGAAGAGCGGGAGCAGTTCTTTCAGTATATCCGCAACAATCAATCGAAAGTTTTGTTGGTACTTGATGGACTAGATGAGGTACCTTCCGACAACACGCCTGTGTTTTCTGAGATCATTCAAGGCAGAGAGCTTCCAAACTGTAATATTCTTGCTACATCACGAGAGATGGATGGAAAAAAGGTGAAGAATTCCTTTGGTACTTTGCTGGAGATCCAAGGGTTCGCTGAAGAAGATGTCAGGATCTTTATTTCAAGTCACTTTAAACGCATAAGACCGTGTCTGGTTCAACAGCTTCTCCACAAGGCAAAGCGTAATCACAAATTGAAAGACATGATGGTAAATCCCCTCACAACTTCACTTCTTTGCCTTCTTTGTGAAGACTTAAAGGATCATTTACCAGAAAGTAATACACAGCTGTACCGGGAAGCAATAAGTTCGGTCTTGAGAGGATATCCTAAGAAGGAAGGAGTAGTCACCACCAACGAGCATTTTACTGAGATTGACAACTCAGAGTTGTTGCAGCTTGGGTCATTAGCTTTTTGTTCATTGGTTGAGAAGAAGATTTACCTTGAAGAAAATGAGCTTACAATTAACTTGTCTAAATTAAGATTTCTGTCCACAGAGAGCACTAGCCACGCCAAGAATTCTAGGTATTTCTTTGCCCACAAGAGTTTTCAAGAATTTCTTGCAGCCGTTTATCTGAGTCATCAATTGATGTGCGGAAAAATGGATCCGGAAGTTGTGGTGATGCAACATTGTCAGGAGCTAAAGGGGGTTCTTCCCTTCACGACTGGCCTGATATGGAAAGAAGACACAGCCTTATGCCTCATAAAGAGTTTAACCTCCCAAATCAATCGTGTGAATATTGATAAAGGCAAGGAGCTATTCCATTGTGAAGATTATTTCCGTGTTGCCTTGGATTGCATTGGAGAATGTGGGCAAGAAAATCTTCGCAGAAAATCAGCCCGTTTCCTTGGATCTCGTCTTACAATTGAAGAAGTGGCTTTTCGTGATGGTACTTCGGGTGACACACTTGTAGAGTTACTGAAAGCTAATGAATCTCTGAAGAAGCTCAAACTTTGTAAGAGTAGGATTCGTGGTGATTGGAACAACATCTCCTTGTTCCTGGCAGAATTTCTTCAAGTTAGTAGAACTCTGACAGAGTTGGAATTGTCTGGTTTTGGAGGAGGAGATGCATGGAAACTTCTTTTTGAGGCCCTCAAAACAAATACCACTTTACACAGATTGCAATTGTGTGGGAGTGTTATTGACACTGCTGATGCATGTTCGCTTGCCGTGTCTCTAAATGTCAACAGTTCTCTGACAACACTAGACTTGTCTGACAATGAAATCGGATTTTCTGGTGTTGGTGTTCTTGCAGAAGCCCTTAAAGTTAACATTTCCCTCGCAAAGTTGAATTTGTCTGGCAATAACATTGGTGATCTTGCTGCTGTGGCCCTTTCCGAGTCGTTGAAGTCAAATACCACTTTAACGAGTTTATACCTAAGCAGAAATGGCATTGGTGAGTACGGTGTCCGTTCACTTGTAGAGGTGCTGACAGTTAATGCTTCTCTGATGATACTGGACTTGTCTGAGAATGAAATTGGTGATGCTGGTGCAGTGGCACTTGCACAAGCTCTGAAAATTAACACTGCCCTTGCAGTTTTGATCTTGTCTAAAAATGGCCTTGGAGATGTAGCTGCCCTTGCTCTTGCTGAGGCACTGAAAACCAATGCTTCTCTGACCACACTGGGATTGTTGGAGAACAAAATAAGTGGTTTTGGTGCAAAGTTCCTTGGAGAAGCTCTCGTAGTAAACTCTAAGCTTTCAACTTTGGACTTGTCTTCAAACTGTATTGACGATACAGGTGCCAGTTTTCTTGCTGAGGCACTGAAACATAGAGAATAAAAGTGAGATTAAATGAGACTGACAGGTAAGTTCATAAGAGAGAGTTTTTGCTTAGCAATTATCAAGCCTGACTGTTTGGTGAATACTGTAAATAGTGTAAATTGATTCTGCCCCATGAAAACTGTATACTTACTGTGCGACTACTGTAACCAAGGCCGCCTGATAAAATTTTCTACAAATTTAACGTATAAAGATCGTGGAGGTTAACAATAGTTTTCGAACAAATTATTGACGTAATCAAGCTGTATATTACGAAGGCAACAGATTTTGGTCATTTTGATTAGTAACTATTTTAAAACTTTTAAAATGCTAGCGGTCAATTTGCAAAGAATTTGCTTAAGTGTCACACTGTAAGGCTTTTTGACAGAAAATAGTTTATAGCATTAAGAAAACTGCTCTGAAACCTTGTTTACCGTGTTAAAGCAATACAGTAAAAACTCACGTATAAGAACCTAGATTTTTTCCAAGTTAGCTTAAATAGGTCCATATCTAAATGGTATGACAGGTTCTTATGTAGAGGGGGTCTAATGAGAATCTCAACCCTGCAGGGTCTTAAATCCGGGTTTTTATACGCGAGTTTTTACTGTAGTTTAAATAATCTTGGCCCTCATTCAATGATGAAGCAGTATAGAACACCTAACTAATGTGGGCGGATTTCTGTTTCACTTTCAAACGTTGATACCTTGGATAGTATTCAAGAATTGTTTAACAAATTTCTGGCGGACGTTTCTCGTGGAGCTTGTAGGCAGTTATGTCTTAGGAGGGATGTTTACCTAAATTTTGAATTCCCCTGTCAGATTTATCGTTTTGAGTAATCTTTAAAGGTTGTTGTAGTGGATTTGCTATTTCACTTCATGTTTACATTCTTTCGTTGGTTTTTTAAATTTGGAGTCAATTACAAAAAAAGTGACGTCCTCTTTGATAAGTTGCTTCTGGAATTCTCGTCTTGTTACATGCCCTGGACCGCCGACAGAAGGGTTTTACACTGGTCGCAGGATTAAAATCATCTTTAATAGTAGTAGTAGTGTGTTTTTGCATAGTACAATATGATCACGTTTTTCAGAGATTTCCCGCACTACAGCATTACTACTGGAGAGTGGCCTTTAAAAAGTGAAGTGAAAAAATCGGAAAACCAGAAAAACGGTTAATGATAATGAAACAAAGTAAAAAAATAAACCGATTGTTGCAATAATTAGCTTCAATTAAAGTTAAAGGAAAAGTGAGCCTTAATGTAGGAGAAACTTGTAAATGTGGACTTGATTGAATAATAAATTGTTGCTCTCAATCCGTTTATTTTCAAGTGATAAGTGAGGCAGGAAGAGAGTGAGCTCTTTCTTACTGATAAGGGATTGGCACAATATGCTCCTAAAATCGCGCATTTTGCTTTTTGACCTCGCGTCCCAAAATGAGTTATTATGCTCCTAATAGGCCACGTTCGATATATCAATATTTTAACTTGGCACCGAGGCTTTCGAGTAAAAATTGTAAATTTTTTGAGTTTCTTTTGTCCCTCCATTCCCAAAAGAGACTTGGATACAAAGAAAACAACATCAAATATAGAAGTTTGTCCTGAAAGCCTCGGAGCCATGTTAGAATATTCATATATCGAACGTGAACTGTTATGCCCGACTGCTGCTGGATCAATACTACCACAGTTTATCAAGTGGTGCTGCAATATAGGTATCACATACATGCCCACCAACATGGCGGCCGTAAAATGGCAGAAACGTTTGTCATTGTAGGGCTGAACCCAGGCCCGCGGGAAAAGTCCAGGATAACTTGAATGTGCATGCTTGAAACGCCACCCTTTTCCCCTAAATCGGGGGGAAGGCCATATATGGCAGAACTGTTAAAAGCGCGTGCGCCTAGTGGCCATCTAATAATCAGAAGTAGGAACACCAGAACAACGTCCAAAAAAGTTTGAGCTAGCCTTTGGCTGCTTAAAACGAACCACCAAAAATTAACCGTTAGCCGCTATCCGCAGAGCGCGTAATTCACGATTAACAACTAGTTAATTTGTATTTTCTTGCCGAGATAAAATCACGGGCAAATCACGCAATCCGCTATGGTAAGCAGTTGACAGTACATTTATTTGTCGTCGGGTAGTCGTGTGTGGTTAGTGTCTCGGACCATTCTGGCGCTCCTGGTCTTAGTACAGATTCATGAAAAATACACTTGGACGCAATTTGTGACAAAAGCTCTGACATTTAACTCGATCGCGTAGTTGAACATGTTGAATTCGTCGTTTGAAAGGCGCGCGCGTCAACAACACACTGATTGGTTCGTTCTCAGCATGCGCATGCAAGTTATCCTGGACTTTTTCCCACGCGCCTGAGTTCAGCCCCTATATTTTGCCAGGGAGGGAGAGTTCAGGGACCGGACTAGTCCACATCCCTGCCCACTCCCGGTTTGTATTTACTTTGGTAGTCAGCTTGGACTTGTCCCCTTGCAGAATGTGAATGAGGGAAAACTTGATTTACATAATCTTAGCAGTGTGGCCAAAATCGCATATGCTGCCAAAATTTTCTTTGATATATTTTTTAAAAAAACTTAGTTGTAATTATTTGACAGCTTTTGGGAAGAACAGAAGTGCAACGTTGTGCAATTTTTTGATCAAAGTCACCGTGGGTAAATAAATTTTCTATCTATCTATCTATCTATCTACTCACCATCACTATCCATCATTCACCATCACTACCCATCATCATTTACCATCACTAGACATCATTCACTATCGCAACACCCCCCCCCCCCAAAAAGAAAACAAACAAACAAAACAAAAAAAAACCCAGGAAATTTAAATTTCTTTTCTTGAAGCGATTGCAGGACTACGTTTTCCATCGTTAGGAGTTCCTTCAGTTTTTAGAAAGGATATGGAACCCTTAACCGTTTCCGAACCACACCGTTTCATTTTCTTTTTATTTTGTACACAATGTGTTTTCAAATTCTGTACAGATATTTACACGATGCCATTTCTAAGAAGCTAGTGATTTTCATTCGAACAAATTACATTGTACACGTCTCTTACAATTCTTGGCGGGCCGGTTAAAAAAAAATTCCACTATCATAATCTACTATCTATTTTCTCTTTAAATCTCTTTAGTTCCTTGGCAATATTCTTGTCGCGTCCTAATTTTGCAGTTCCAGCTTGAGTTGGCTCGTTTGGTATATCCTTTTCTTTAGTTCCGCCTTCCGTTCGGGATCCGAAGAGTTCCTGAGCGGTGGCAGTCGGCCTCAACGAAGCCACCCGAACTTCGTTGTATATTGTTTGGACCTATGAACAGCAAATGAAAATAACATTAATTTAGTTTTGAAACATAAATTCGTGTAGACCATAAGTTTATTACCTCGAAGCGTCTGCCGAATAGACGTAAAGGGGCCATGGTTTGAAAGGACTAAACTTTTTTCAAATAGCAATATGAACTAGACAACTTGCGTCGCGAGTTTTTCCACGACAAGAGAACTTTACGAAAAGACTTTAATCTGGTTTATGGAGAGTTACTGGGGAAAATCGCCAAGAACAAACAAAAGTACATATATGATATTTCCTGCTCTACGGCGTCCCTGTGAAATGATGCCTCAAAAAGTGCAAAATCCACCAAACAACAAAGGACATAACCCAGGAATGCATACCTCATTTAAAAGCTTCTTGGCCTCGCGGTATTCCTGTTTCAGTTTGGGATCCTTCTTAAAATCTTGCAGAGCAGTTTCTAAACACAAAACAAATAGCAGCGGGGATTATCAAGTGCAAAAACACTGTAGGAAAANATCGCCAACAACAAACAAAAGTACATATATGATATTTCCTGCTCTACGACTTCCCTGTGAAATGATGCCTAAAAAAGTACAAAATCCATCAAACAATAAAGGACATAACCCAGGAATGCATACCTCATTTAAAAGCTTCTTGGCCTCGCGGTATTCCTGTTTCAGTTTGGGATCCTTCTTAAAATCTTGCAGAGCAGTTTCTAAACACAAAACAAATAGCAGCGGGGATTATCAAGTGCAAAAACACTGTAGGAAAAACTGTACATGCATGTTCACTTCACAAGCCGCAAGCTTGTCCATATTGTAAATCTATTTTAATCTTCGCTCGCCGTTATTAGTCACCCTCGCAAATAATGAGTTATGATCATATGAAGCGCACTGTTCTTCAAAAGCGAGGTATCATTTGGGGTTTTTTAATTACATACATTTAGTCGTGTTTTTAATCTTTCTGAATTCGCACTTAAAAATGGTGACGGTTACCGTTTCAATATGGCTAAGGAACGATATTCAACAATTAGATTAAGAGCTCGAGATTCCTATCACGTTACAGTTGAAGATGGTACGGCCCGAGTCATGTATCACGCATAGAAATCGAGAGCGAATAATCTAATTGTTTGAGTATAAATCTACCAGTCGTTCAAAACGTTATCTAAATTTCTTTCACAGACACTTCAAAAACGCAAAGAAATGACCGTCATTTTGTTAACAACTGCACAATGCTACGCTACTCACTATCTATCACAGAATAGATAGTGAGAAGCGTAGCCAATAAGAGAACGGCCTTTGTGACAGAACGCTAGTAGATTTACAGTGAACGAAAATAGACTGAACTAACCTAAGTTGGATTCCTTTGTCTTGGATTGGACCCTNGGGGGGGGGAAGGAAGGCGAAGAGAAATGAATGGAAAGGGGAGGGGAAATCACGTTTAAGCATGCAAAACGATTTCGCTATGAGAAAACAAGATGATATAATGCATGGGTTAGCCGTTGAAAAAGCCTTCTCTGTAGTTTGCTTTTGGCTTTTCATGTAATTTTACAGTTGGGATGAAAAATGGGTGACGAGCCACTAAACTGTTGTCACACGAGACTGCAGTCTCTCCAACAAAGTGCCAACAAAGAGCATTAAACGTTAACTTACCTTGATCTTTTTAACTCTTCGTTCTTTGTATGTTCCATGTGGTTCACTGAAGATCAGTGGATGGGCCAGAGCGTAGTTCAGAGCTCTAACGCTTCCCTGGAGGTCCTTTGGTACCACAATGTCAGGGTCTTCTGTATCGACGTCTAACAATTCTTCGTAGCCTCTATACTTAGTTTCCACGCTAAATGGACGCTCTTTTTCTTTGTTTGGTTTTTGTTTAGACGCTTCAACACCTTGTTCGTCGCCTTGTTCGTCAATCTGCCAGGGGAACATCAAGGAAAGAAACGTTTCAGACTGCGTGGCTGACTTAAAAGGGAATTTAACTAACCATGACAACGTCTATTAACAAATAAATTTATATTTTTCCTACGAATCTCGCGATATTCTAAAGTCATTTAGTTAATGTTTCTCACAGTCAAAACTATCTCAAAACTAAATATGGAACACGGCGTTCAATTCCAAACAGACATTCACGAGAATAAAATAGCTTTCGTGGTTCACGTCCCCAGACAACGTAGGATAAGGTCATTTTACGTTGTTGTTTTGCGGAGGACGGCAAAGAAATGTACCACGAATTATAACGCACGTGCACAACCATTGTCCTGCACGTTAAACCTTTTGTTTAGCGACGTTCCCGTTGCCGTTGCCGTTGTGCTTAAGCTTTTACAAGCGAAATTCGCGATGGTCTTGATCTGTTCGGTACGCTAATGGCTCTAAAAACGCACTTAAGCTAAATATGCAGCGACGCCGTTCAATTCCAAATAAAAATACGAAAAATTAGCCGTCTCCACTTTCCGTAGACGACGTAGCACTTGGTCATGTCACGTTCTTGTTTTGCAGAGGACGGCAAAAAAATGTACAAAGAATTATAACGCACGTGCACAGCCATTGTTCTACACGTTAAACCTTTTGTTTAGCGACGTTCTCGTTGTCGTTGTCGTTGTGGTTTTCTTAATTAAACTCCTTAAGTGCGACTACATGACACAGGCGCAATTTTAAAAATAATGAAAAGAAAGGGAAAGAAAGTCTTACTTGGGTCATGAAAAATCTATCGTCAGTGTTGAGCCCCCCATCTGTACGAGGTTGATATCGACCATCAGCAGTCCCGACACTTTCACTAACAGTAGCTTCTCCGTCCGTCTTCACCGTCTGCCTGGTTGTGTGACCAGACTGGTACTGCTCTGATTCAGGAAATTCCGGAGGCATGCTATTGGTACGGTCGAAAGGAGGGCGATCATCTCTTGGTGTCTTCTCAGTGGCGCCAGGCGCAGTATAGAGCTTCCTTGGGGTGGTAGACTGGCGCTGTCGTCCTGTGGGGGGTGCTGATCCTATCGGTGGTAATGTCTTGTAAGGTGGTCCAACATATGCGATTGACTTCGGATCAGGAGGGGCTTCCAGCATTGCCAGGTTTTGCTTCTTCGGCAT